AAATACAACATATCAAAATTAAGGGGATGTAACCAGCCGGTGTGGCTCAGTGGTTCAGTGTCGACCCATGAACCAGGAGGTCATAGTTCTATTTTCAGTCAGGGCACATGCCCAGTTGTAGGCTCCATCCCCAATAGGGTTGTGCAATTAGCAGCCAATTCATGATTCTCTCTCATCACTGATGTTTCTATCTCTTTCTCCCTCTCAGAAATATATACATGTGTGTGTGTGTGTGTGTGTGTGTGTGTATAATAATAATAATAAAAAAGAGCTAATATGCTAATGGTTGGGAGGCCGTAATGCATAATGACTGGTTGCAGGAGGCTGCCTGTGCGTGCGAGGCGAGGCGTTGCTCCAGAGACAGAGACAGAGACAGGGCTGAAGCGGGGAGCTGCCCGAAGGAGGTGGGAGGTGAGACCATCCCGTGCTGGGGAAGGCGGGGTGAGAGCCCATAGCATCTCCCTCCTTACCCATCCTGCATCACCCACCGCTCACACTCAGAGAGCCCCACCGCCCACCTGCCAGAGGAAGGAGCACAGTGCAGCAGGCAGGAGGCTTCCAGGAAGCAGGAAGGTGCCTGGAGAAGGCAGGACCAGCCTGAGGCGACTGGAGGGACTGAGAATGGGGCTTGAAGTGGCCAGAGAAGGCCTGAGAGATTGGGGGATGGGGGTGGGGGTGGGGTGGGGGGCTGGGCCAGGCGTGTGAAGCTCAGTGTAGAGAAGTTTGGGTGGATGGGCGGGGCTGCGCGATTTAGTGCGCTGGGCTCCTTTTGTGTGTGTGTGTGTGTGTGTGTGTGTGTGTGTGTAAAATCTAGGGAATGCAACTAAAACAGTTCTATCAGAAAAGAAAATACACCTATAATCAATAACTTAAACTTTTATTTGAATAAACTAGAAAAATAAAAAGAAATCAAATCCAAACAGAAGAAAGGAAGATCACAGTGAAAGGCAATGACATAGTAAACAGAGAAACAATAGAAAAAAATCAAGGAAAGCAAAGTTGGATTTTTGAGATCAACAAAATTGATCACCCTTTAAACTGACCAAGAAAAAAGAGAAAACACAAATGACCAAAATCAGGAACAGAAGAGGGATTATCAGAACATTAAAAAGGGTGACATGAACAACTTTATATCAACTAACTGGATAATTTCAATGAAATAAACAAACTCCATAAAAGATGGAAGATAGCAAAAAGAGACCATTAAAAATCTGAGAAGAGTCCTAGCTGATTTGACTCAGTTCGACAGACTGAAGGGCCCCGGGGTAGATTCCAGTCAAGGTCGGGTAGATTCCAGTCAAGGTCAAGTGCCTGCGTTGCAGGCTCAATCCCCAACAGGGGGTGGGCAGGAAGCAGCAAATCAAAGATTCTCTCTCATCACTGATGTTTCTCCCTCTCCCTCTCCCTTACTCTCTGAAATCAATAAAAATATGTATATTTTTTTTAAATCTGAGAAGAGAACCAATTCATTAAAAACCTCCCAGAAAGAAATGTCTAAGCCCCAATGGATTCAGTGATGAATTCTATCAACTATTTAAAGAAAAAGACCACTCTTTCAGAGAACAGAGCAGAGTCCTGCCCAGCAAGTCAGCCTGAGCACCATAGGGTCAGAGGTTCAATGCCATGTAACTGGGTTGCAGGTTCAATCCCCAAGCCTGATCAGGGAGTGTCCAGAGGCAACCAATTCTATGTGTTTCTCTAAATCAATCAATCAATCTCTCTCTCTCTCTCTCTCTCTCTCTCTCTCTCTCTCTCTCTCTCTCTCTCCATTTTCCCTTCCTCTCCCCTCCCCCCATTTCTCCTCCTTTCCACTCTAATGATTCCCTCAGACTCTGCCCCATCCAATTTGCTGCCCCACCCACGCTGTTTAAAGCCGCTTTTCCATATGAATGGCCTATCCTGGTTCAGGCTTCAGACATTGCTAAAATCTCTTACACAAGTAGCAGCTGGAGTCAGCATGCCCCAAACTTATCAATAAAAGGCCCAAGACCCAGCACTAGCACCGGCCTGCCTTGCATCACAGTTGGGCCTCACCTGGGGACTTTCTCGCCCAATACAAGTAAGTAGCAGCTATCTGCAGATCACTCTGTGGTTCCTGTTGGGTGGCCCGAGGCAGTAGTTGATTTTGCACCTCCCAGGAAGCCCCAGAGCCAGTGTACCCAGTGGACAGCTTCAGACCATACCAGATTATAATACTACCATCCACAAGCAACACACTCAAGGGGCAGATTCAGTGAGCACCAAAGCCTCACTAAAGCAAGTCCTGTTCCATAGGGACGTCTACTGCACAGCAGCTCTTTCATTGCAGACATACCTGGTCCTCACAGCCAATTGGCCTGGAGGTTAATTCCTCCCAGTGACACCAACAGCAATCAAGACTCAGATACAACAAGAAGCCGAAACCAGTTTGGCTCAGTGGTAGAGCGTCGGTCTGCGGACTGAAAGGTCCCACGTTCGATTCCGGTCAAATACAACAAGACTGTGCAACCAGCCCACCGAGGGGCACACCTAGAGTGCCCAGCTCAGGTGATGGGAGGCTGAGCCACTGAGCCCTACAGGACACCTAATACAAAAGGCTGTTCTACAAATTCCAGGAGACATAGCAGCTCTACCTAATACACAGAAACCAACACAGGGAAGCAGCCAAAATGTGAAGACAAACATCACAAATGAATGAAATGAAAGCAAGCAAACTCCTGGATACAGAGTTCAAAACAATGGTTTTAAGATTGCTCGAGGATCTTAATGAAAGCTTCAAGGGACTTAGTGAGACTTTCAAGGAAATCAGTAAGAACATCAAAGACATGAAAAAATACCAATCAGAAATGAAGAATACATTAATGAAACAAAGAACAATTTGGTATATGAGGAAGCAAAAAATAGCCAATGAAAAGAGCAAAAAGAAAAAATAATCCAAAAATATGAACATTAGTGTAAGAAGCCTCTGGGACAACTTAATTGTACCAACATTCGCATTATGGGAGTGTCACAGGGAAAAGAGAGCAAGATATTGAAACCTATTTGAAGAATTAATGACAGAAAACTTCTCCTAACTGGTGAAGAAATAGACTTACAAGTACAGGAAGAGCAGAGAACTCAAAGAGGCCCACACCAAGACACATCATAATTAAAATGCCAAGAGTTAAAGACAAAGAGAGAATATTAAAGGCAGCAAGAGAAAAACAGTTAATTACCTATTGTCGCTGATTTCTGAACAGAATCTTTGCAGACCAGAAGGGAGTGGCAAGAAATACTCAAGGTGTTGAATAGCAAGGATCTACAACCAATATTACTCTACCCAACAAAGCTATCATTTGGAATTGAAGGTCATATAAAGCAGTGTTTTTCAACCTTTTTTGGGCAAAGGCACACTTGTTTCATGAAAAAAATCACGAGGCACACCACCATTAGAAAATGTTAAAAAATTTAACTCTGTGCCTATATTGACTATATATAAAGTAATTCTCTTGAATAGGAATCAAATAAACACAAAGAAAGTATTTTATAATTACTTTATTATGAAATATTAAGTAAACAAAATAGTGAAAAATTATAAAATTCTTGTCTTGTCTGCACCTACGGCACACCAGGCAACATCTCGCGGCACACTAGTGTGCCGCGGAACAGCGGTTGAAAAACGCTGATATAAAGAATTTCAGAGTCAAGAAAAAGCAAAAGGAGTTCATCACCACCAACCCAGTACTACATGAAATGTGGAAGGGTATTCTTTAAGAAGAGGAGGAAAACAAAGATGAAGAAGAAAAAATAATAGATCTAAAATATGAACAATAAAATGGAAATAAATACATATCTATTAACAATTGAAAATAAAATAAGTGAACAAGTAATCTAATGAACAAAACGAACTGATGAATAAAATAGAATCAGAGGATGGAAACATGAAATAGACTAAGACTCTCAAAGGGAAAGAGGGTAGAGGAATGGGAAGAGATTAAGGTGGTGAAGGCCTGGGGTAGGGCAGAAACTGGGTAGAGGGGTACAAGATGGGGGTGAAGGGGGACATCTATAATACTCTTAACAATAAATTTTTTTTTTTTTTTTAAGAATAGGCTTTTTTCCCCAAATAAGAGAAAAAGTCTTCGTTTTCAAATTCTTACCAAAAATTAATTCCAGAATTATTTCAATTAACACTGGCGAAGAGCCAAACTATACTTCACTAGTTGTGGCCAGACTCACCCAGGGACAGACCAAACTGAATGCATACATTTATTTAGGAGTCTTCTAGAACTTAAGCATATTGTTACAGCACTGAAAGATATAAATTAAAAAATACTGTCGATTCAAATCAGGAATTTCAGAATTCTGTTATCTGAACGTAAGGAAATAACTGGTCATCTGTGGATGGCAAATTATATTGTAGTCCAAAAAAGTGGTTGGGGTCCCAGGGCAGCCTCTTGTGAATCTCCCTCCTATAAGGCCTACACCATTCCTTCCACAGCAGTGTGTTTAGACATGGTTTTAAATATTTCACTTCCTCCAAACAGATGAGAAAAAAACTAAGTTAGGGCTCGGCAGGTATGGCTCAGTGGTTGAGCATCAACCTATAAACCAGGAGGTCACGGTACGATTCCCAGTCAGGGCATATGCCAGGGTTGTGGCCTCAATCCCCAGTGTGGGAGAGAAGGAGGAAGCCAATCAATGATTCTGTCTCATCATTAATATTTCTCTCTCTCTCTCTCTCTCTCTCTCTCTCTCTCTCTCTCTCTCCCTCCCTCCCTCCCTCCCTCCCTCCCTCCCTCCCTTTACTCTCTAAAATCAATATAAATATATATATTTTTAAAAAGAAGTTTGTTCTATAGTACACAAAACTAGAAATATTTTGTTGTTTTTCCCCCCCAAACAATTATCTTTTAATGCACCATAAAATGTATTTAAGATAGGTTTTTCTTAAATATAAAGAAAGCTTCCTGAATTAAGAAAGAGTAGTGAATACTTTTTATCTGCTTAATCATTATAAAAAATGCAGTTTTTAGCCACCATCAAGAGCAGGACAAATTTATTTATAACGAGTGGTTTAAATGTACAGATAAAAAGGCCTATTGATACTGTCAGGGCACCCTGCAATTTGACAGATCAAATCTTATTTTCATTCTTAAAGCCCATGAAGAAGTGATATCGCTGACGTGCATTCACTAGTGAGCAAATTGATTAATCCCTCTCTATAGAAATCTCAACTCTTGATTACACCTATCAGACACTAAGCAGCATTATTCTAGAGTGACAACACTTTGACAAATTCCCCAACCATTTTTCTCAGCCTTTGTGGCCCTGCTAGCTTGTATTAACCCGATGAAAAATTAATTTTCCTTATCTTCTCCTAAACCCCAAAGTCCAAATCCGCCAAACTGGCAACTCTTTCTGTAAAGGTATTATGAAAACCTCTAAAAGATTAATTGCATGTCTTCAGGTGACATTAAATTAATTTCTGTACTCATGACAGACACTTGATACTCCGTACTGAGAGGACAGATAACATTGTCAGGACACACCGAAGGACAGTGGTTGGGGTCCCAGGGCAGCCTCTTGTGAATTCTCCCTCCGATAAGGCCCCCTCACTGTCAGGGCCATGCACGATCTCACAGCCCGCAGACCTCCCCGCACAGGTTTCTATTAACCACAACAATGCTGGGCCGCCCCCTGTAATCTGCAGCTCACCCAGAAGCCGGACAACAGATGATATGCATGCTATGCCAAGTTCCTAAATACAAACACATTTAAGGCTCCATTTTGTCTTTGAAGGATAACCGCTAAGGAGAAATAAGCAGGCTACCATTCTCATTCAGGCTCCTTCCTTGGTCAATTCCCTAATTAAAGCTGCAGCCTGAGGGGAGAACACGTCCCCTTTGCAGCATTCACCTATTCTCTGCAATAAGCTCCGCTGACATATGGCGAGCACACAAATACTTCAACAACGTCCATCTAGAGTGCTTCCTGTAACATTTCGGAAAGGGTCTGAGCTGTGACAAAACACGGAGCAGACAGACCTCAAAGCACTTGTGTTTCCTGGAGAAGAGCTCGATGGGCACACACACTGGATCTGACAGCAGGTGGCAAACGGCAGAGACTCAGGGCTTTCTCTCAACATTCTCTCTCCCTGAGCTCTGTTAGGTTTGGGGAAATTTTTAAGAAGCAAAATTAACTGGCCTTTGGAGGAACAAAGTAAAGCCCTGAGCCTCTGAGGGAGTCATACTCCAATTCCTGCCACGTGAATCTTGGTCTGAAAAGGAGACGACTGCTAATGTGGGTTCCTCCAGCCACAGAGCATTGAACTCACGACTCTTCCAGAGAGAGCCCCCCCGAAGGGGTGAGGCCAGGCTCTGCAAGGCAGAAACTGCTGCCTGCCCTGGCTGAGAGCAGCAGACGGGCAAGGGGGGAGTCGGGCTCGCACGTCCTGAGGTGCCTCCCCATCCACACAGAGCAGGGTCTTTCCCACTCAGTTTCCCTCACTTTCTGATCTTCTCATCACAGGCATGTCCTCTGACACCTCATGTCCGACTGCCTTCCCTGGCCCTGGCATGACCTTCCCTCCGTTAGAAAATGGGCTGTGGCTTCTTTGCCACAGGAACTTTCTGCATGCTCTTCCCCTCTGCCCAGAGAGGCTTCTCCTTCCTGTGCTCTCCCCAGGCAACCAGCACCTTCTCTCTCTCAGGCATTTCTTCAGATCTCCCTAAGACACTCACAACACCCGCAGTCTGCTGTGACCCGCAATGTGACACCCCGGAGCCGGCACAGCACCGGGGAGCTCCTCAGCCCCAAGTCAGGTCTATTGTGACAGCCACTGCCAATGCACTCCACCCCTGCCATAGAGGGCAGGGCCTGACTCCTCAGGACAGCCTCCTTCCCTGCAGGACCCTGACCTCAGTCCTGCCAGAAGAACATGCCTGACACTAACCCTGGTCTACAGAAACTCATTTTAATACTTAAATAATGGTGTTCAATCCTCTTGGAATTCTCACACAGGACAATCATTCAAAAATGAATTCAATGCAGTACAAAGTATTTTCTACTCGTGTTGATGACCTATTTCAAGAAATGTAATATACAAAAGAATCCAACAGATACAGATCTCTTGATTCACCTTCTGTCTTGGAACTCACCCTAGATGGACGGACATGCTGATAGGGCTCAGATGCAGTGACACCCCGTGAGCAAGTCTGGGTGGACACGGGGCTGGAGGACACAGGGCTGCTGCAGAACTGAGGCCCAGAAGCCGTAAGAGGAATCTAAAACTGCACCAAAAGCAAGGGTGTGTCCAAGGAATGCTGGGGACACTCCAAGGACAGCACCAACTTACCATGGTCCCGTGCCAACTGGGACCATTCCAACACCCAAATAAATAATACTAATAACAATTCATTGTGTAAAGTAAGTATTCAAAGCCCATGTTGCTGTAACAAATGAACAAATAAATAAGCAAGGGCAAAGAGAAAGCTACCCCCGGCAGAAACACGACAGATAACAAGCAGAAATGCAGCGCTGGCCCTGGAAATGTCAGTGTTGTTAACACGCTGCAAATCCACAAGAAATGGGATCGTTAATCTCAAAGCTCTTCCCATGAATTACTTATCAAGTACAAAGGGTAAGGCTATGGCTTAAAATAGAGAGACTTGGCCAACACCACCTGACTCAACGATCCAAGTGCCAACACTGGACAAACCACCAGTAGGACTGGGAGGAGGGCAGAACATCCTTCTCTGCATCTGACGTCCCTCTTGGGAAAATGGGAGACAAAGCAAATTAAAGGGCATTCGACAAAATATTTAGCTAAGACTCCTCTTTAAAAATGTCTGAAGAGCCCAGCCGGCATGGCTCAGTGATTGAGAGTCGACTTATGAACCAAGAGGTCACAGTTTGATTCCTGGTCGGGGCACTTGCACAGACTGTGGGCTCAGTCCCCAGTAAGGGGCGTGCAGGAGGCTGCATGTACTCATCCTTCACTCCAACCTTAGCAATTTCATTTATAGACTAGAGACTGAGGTTCAGAAAAATGAAATAACTGTTCAGGGTCCCAAGGGCAATTAATTATAGACAACCATCTGAACGTGGGCCAGCATCATGTACAAATGCACACTCCCGGTCCTGGGGAGGGAGCACTTCAATTTCCATGCTCCACGAACATGAATTTCCAAAAGGCTACAACAATCAGGATGCAAGAGAGAACCCATGGAGAAAGTGAAGAGTGACTGTGAGTGGTAAACCCAGACAAGCATGGTCACCAGGACTGTGAAAACCAACATCAAGAAAGGAGCCATGCTGAAATCAGTTTGGCTCAATGGATAGAGCTTCGGCCTAGGGACTGAAAGGTCCCAGGTTAGATTCCGGTCAAGGGCATGTACCTTGGCTGCGGGCACATCCCCATTAGGGGGTGTGCAGGAGGCAGCTGATCAATGTTTCTCTCTCATCGATGTTTCTAACTCTCTATCCCTCTCCCTTCCTCTCTGTAAAAAATCAATAAAATATATTTTTTTAAAAGAATAAAAGAAAGGCTTCGTGTGCCCACCATGCACTTGCTACAACCAAGAGGAAGGAGGATCATAAACTAACATCACTCAAAGATAAGCAACAGAAGAGCAGACTAAAAACCTGCCTTAAGTCGCAGGCTCTTTCACTTTTCAAAAAACCCAATTTAATAAAATCTAAAGACAAGTTATTTGATTATAAGTAGCACAATATGGATACTGAGAGAAGAGAACTCTGTGCTGAAGCACCATCACCTCACAAGTCAAGCACAGAGAACCACCTGTTGCGGCTGTAAGGCACTTGCAGCCTGTTCTGGCGTGAGTGCAAGGCAACTGCTCCCTAACCACCCCAGGAACACACCCTGACTGGATCACCAACAGGGCACTTTTAGGAACAACACTGCAGACTGACTCCTGTCCTGTCCAGAGTCAACAACATGGACCAGCAGATCACTGATACAAAAAGTAATGTAATTAACTACATCGATGCCAGCTTAGGTCAGAGAAGGATCTATACTAATAAAAGGGTAATATACTAATTAGACCGGAAGTCTTCCTGATGTCCTTCCAGACAAAGCCACAGTGGCAGGAGCTGAGGCAGAGGCAGAGGCAGGTTAGGGGCAATCAGGCAGGCAGGGGAGCAGTTAGGGGCGATCAGGCTGGCAGGGGGGAGCGGTTAGAGGCAATCAGGCCAGGAAGGGGGAGTAGTTAGGGAATCAGGCAGGGGAGAGCAGTTAGGGGTGATCAGGATGGCAGGCGAGTGCAGTTAGGAGCAATCAGGCCATCAGAGGAGAGTGGTTGGGGCAATCAGGCCAGCAGAGGGGAGCGGTTAGAAGAGATCAGGCTGGCAGAGGACAGCAATTAGGGGCATCAGGCAGGCAGGAAGAGTGGTTAGAGGTGATCAGGCAGGCAGGCAGGCAAGCAAGCGGTTAGGAGCCAGTGGTCCCAGATTGCGAGAGGGATGTCCTGGATTGGAGAGCGTGCAGGCCGAGCTGAGGGACCCACCCCTTCTAGTAAAGGAAATAAAACAGACTCCCAAATAAACCTCTCTAAGAAACCTTATAAATATGATATTTACTATACTTTTGTACTAACAGAATATAAAGAAGCTCATTGTGAACATACAAGAACACAGAAATTAATTATATTAATAATTACCAATTATTTAGTTAGTTATGAACCTGAAGTGCATAAATAATACCGTGCACAGGTACAGTATATAAGCTGATCCTCCCAAATTCTAAGACCCTGTCAAAGCCTTACTGGAGTTGCCAGTTCAGACCTGCACTCATGGCCAGGCCCAGGGCATTAATGCCACAGCTAACATAGAAATTAAAATCAGAAGAAATATGCACACGCAACACTTAACAGAACTGTTTCCTTTTGTATTGCCTGAAATAAATACAATTAAGAATATGCTCTTAAAAATAGCTCCTACACACACACACACACACACACACACACACACACACACACCATGACCATTTGAAAATACTATTTTTCCAGGTCAGAGAGACATAAACAAGGCATTTACTAGGTGTACCCGTTAATAATGCCATTTTGTGTTTGTTTGTTTTTCAATATTGGAGTTACACATATGTTGATATATGTACGATTTGATATGTATGCTATTTTATTGTATTGACAACAAGCTTCAAAACTTCATGTCAAATTTTCTGAAGGTGTTAACATCACAGATATTTTTATGCTTAAAAATGTCAAGTTTCATGCTAATAAAAGAACATTTGTGGGAAGTTTTAATTCATTATTTTGAAGAAAAGTGCTGCTGAATACTTCAGGAAACTTATGGTGAACATGCTCCATCTCAAGATACTGTGAACACTGGTTTAAATGCTTTAAAAATATGATTTCGATGTAAGAGACAAAAAATGTCCAGGTTAACCGAAAAAGTTTGAAGACCAACAATTACAAGCATTGGATGAAGATGCGTGTCAAACTCAAAAACAACTTGCAGAAAGATTAAATGTTGCTGAGCAAACAATTTCCGATTGTTTACAAGCAATGGGAAAGATTTTAAAGGAAGAAAAATGGGTGCCACATCAACTGAATGAAAGACAAATGGAAAACTGAAGTCATCAGTAAAATGCTGCTTCAAGGGCAGGAAAGAAAGTCTTTTTTGCATAGAATTGTGCCTGGCAATGAAAAGTGCATTTATTTTGAGAATCCCAAATGCACAAAATCATGGGTTGATCCAGGTCAACCATCAACATTGACTGCAAGGCCGAATCGCTTCGGAAAGAAGACAATGCTCTGCGTTTGGTGGGATCAGGAAGGTGTGGTGTATTATGAGCTTCTAAAACCAGGTGAAACTGTTAATACTGATTGCTACTGATAACAAATAATCAATCTGAATTACACTTGCATCGTAAAACAACCAGAATGTTCCAGAAGACACGGCAAAGTAATTTTGCTTCATGATAACGCACCATATCACACTTCAAATTAAAGACACCTTAAAAGCCCTAACCTGTTTGGCTCAGTGGATAGAGCATCGGCCTGGGGACTAAAGCGTCCCAGGTTCGATTCCAGTCAAGGGCATGTACCTTGGTTACAAGCACATCCCCAGTAGGGGGTGTGCAGGAGGCAACTCATCAATGTTTCTCTCATTGATGTTTCTAACTCTCTATCCCTCTCTCTTCCACTCTGTAAAAACAAACAAACAAACAAACAAAAAAATCCGCAATAAAAATTCAAACAAACAAACAAAAAAAATGTTAACAGATCTTGCCTGGGAAGTATTAACCCAGCCGCTGTATTTACCAGACCTTGCTCCTTCAGATTACCACTTGTTCAGATCGATGGCACACGCACTTTCTGAGAAGCACTTCAAAATGTACAAAAGTGGAAAATTTGATCTCTGAATGGTTTGCCTCAAAACAAGAAAAGTTCTATTGGGACAGTATCCACAAATTACCTGAAAGATGGGGGAAATGTGTAGCTAGCGATGGACATTACTTTGAACAAAGCAATTTTGATGTTTCTCTTGAAATTATCATGTTTTCTTTTATTACAAAATCTGCATTATTGACTGGTACACACAGTATCCTCAGAGAGTTGAAAATAGCCAACATGCTACTGGAGGAACTGTTGGAAAAAATCCTCATGGAGACTGCGGACAGGTTTGTTAGTTAACTTATTACTTAAGAATTAGAAAGAGCTAAAAAGTTACTCCAATGTTATTTTCATGTAAAATTCCTGTTGTTTTTCTGTGTATTGTAAAATTATACAACATAGTTTCTGAGTATAGCATGATATAAAAAATATTTTTTACCCTGTAGAAAAAAAGAGCAAAAATGTAACTAGCTCAATTCTTTGAAAGAAAAGGTGTTGACTCATTTGCAAGCTGTTCGACACAGAGCTAGCCGAGCCCCCAGCTCAGCTGCAGGCCCGCCAGAACTCTGAATGCACTTGGCCCTGCTCTCTGCCAGCCACAGCTCACCCATGGAGGTCACTAGAAAGATCTATTCCTGACCTTGGCCCCATACCACCTGTTTAGAACTCAAGGGGAAAAGTGAAACGCTGATAAAGTATGCTTAAAACAAAGTCAAAAGCGAAAGGCCACGCACACTGGAAAACTGGTTAACTTTTGAGTTCTCATGTAAAAATAACAAAGGCATATAATAGTAAAATAATTTGATGGAATAGAGGCCAGCTGCTAATTTTGAATTACCATGAATGGAGGTGAGAAAACAGATTCAAGAAAAACAAAATTATAGGTCCTATTAATATGGAATTTCTAATCCATATTACTCTATCAAATGTCTTAGTATACAAGCACAGAAATAAAAGCAATTAGCACTGTACTGAGTAAATTGCTCACAAGTTGTTCCCACATGAGCACAGCACAGGACATAATGCCCCACGTGCCTCTTCACTCCTCTGTGCACTGTCCCCCCGGAGGGCCTTAGGGTAACGGCTGTGGTCGGCTTCCCCTTTCCTCCTCAGGTTATAGACAAACCACACACACCAGCACTGTGACAAGAAACATCTGCACAAACCATCAGAATGTGCTGCAGAATCCTGTCAGCACAGCCAGGCTAAGACCCCTTCTATAAAAAAGCAGGGATATACCCACAGCTTCTTGAAAGGACAACCTTGTGCCACAGACATCTGTTTGCCTCTGTTCAAGAACTGAATTGTCCAACCCAGGCTGGAAAACACTGCCTTAGCCTTAGAGAGAGTGATCTAAAACGGCCCCTGTCACAGGGAGACAGACAAAAGTATGCTTACCTCTGACCTGCAACCCAGGTACTTGCCCTTGACCTCCAATGGAACCAATGACCCTCAGGTGTGCGGGCCGAAGCTCTAATCCCTGAGCAACACCGACCGGCCAGGGTCACCATGTCGCACTGTAGAACTCTTCTCATTCTGTTGCCCCTGAATCTAAAGCTAAACACAAGTCGCTTGCTTTGTGGTAAAGGAAATTTTGTATTTAAAACAAATTTTGTAATTCTACCACAAATTATCCTCAAAAAGAATCTAAAACTGAGAAAGGTCTAAGTGAAGGACAGAGACAACTGAACACTATGGTCAGCACAGAAACGGCAGCTCTCACACCAGCTTCCCGTCAGAGGGGCTGGTCCACGGGACTGTGCAGAAGCAACCTGCCTCCCTCTGCTCACACTCCTGCTCTGGGAATTAGGGCACCCTAAGAGAAGGATGTGGAGATTTAAGAGGCACAATGACCTCGTCAACTTACCCCAGCTGACAACTTAATCACCCTGACTTTGGAGCCGACATGCGGCCCATCTCCGCCACCGCTGTTTGCCCGGTGCATGACAGTCCTTTTGGTGCCGGGCTTGGAGTCCGGGGGCCGACCCTGCAGGGCCATCACTCGGGCGGTCTGTGCTGGGGG